TCACAGGAGCTGTGTCCAAATTCATAGGCTTCATCCTCCTGAGGCCGCATTTGTAGGCCTCAGGATTACGTCACAGTGAAGCGACAAAGGCAGTCCAAATTTAAAGACTCCTCCAAATGCGTCCTCCTTTTCCCTGAATTTGAAGGATGGGTCGGGTGTATCCTTCGTGGCCCAACCTATCCCAGAATTCATAGCGCGGCCCAGCCAATTCCAGTTTCCAACAATGGCGGCAGCTGCTTATTTTTAAAATTACTCTTATTATTCTCTGGGTCACAAAGTAAACTTTTAACATATTTTCAGGCGAGAATGTAGCTGTGCAAACTTCAAATATCTGCTCAGTTTATCAAGACACCACATATTTTCAAAAGCGCTCCGACGTTTTCGGAGACGTCTGTTACCCACCAGCTCGAAGCTGACCGGGAGGTCAAGGCTCACTAGAGCCCGTGAGAACACCGGACTCCCCGCACATGATTTTCAAACCCCCCGTGATCTTTCACTACTTGGGTTAAACATGTATAAGTCACTTAGATAACCTAAAACTGTTATAGTTTGGCTTTTTTCAGTGTTTTATTTGTTTGTGTGTAAATCGGTTCGGCTGAGATTAAAGTTATAGTTTTCACACAGCTGAATAAACGTCAAACAGAAAACTGATTATACAGAAGTGTGAGATGGTCGAGAATATACTCCGGTGTCCTGTTATATTTTATATATCAAGGAGCAGATGGCAGTTTATTAAACTCCACCGAGACAGCGGTGACGCAAATCTGAAGGCTCGACTGTTCCATTTCACAGCCTCACACTTCCAGCCTTCTCGGTCTTCAGAGGATCCGGCCCACATAGACCGCGAAGGCTGGATCCTCCAAAGGATACGGCCTATGAATTTGGACACAGCACGGGAGAACGTTTAGTCAAATTTATTTTCAAAATGAAATTGATCAGTTTTTAACTGTCGTTATATTATGTCTCTAGTAAATCCTGGATCTTCAACTATCCAACAACTTTTGTGACACTGATATATGATATATGTAAATAAAGTCAAACCTGTTTTCATTCATTCTTATTCTGGGAACACAGATCAACCACTAAATCAACATCTTTGATGAGGAAGCTTGTTTCCTTCAATTGTATCTTCAATGCTTCACTTTTGGTCACTAACCCAAATAAAGATCTGCTGAACTCATGGCTGTATCTGAGGTAAGCAGGTGCATTGTGAAGCTACTGGAAAAGAAAACTTATCATAGCGGACTTTTAGGGCTGTATTTACTGGTCTCTGTGCTTTCGCTGATTACTGTCAGGTGGTCCATTCCCTTCCCGTCCTCTGTCTGCTGGGCCTCGGGAGCATCTGTCGTTGAGGGTGGGGCCTGTTGGTCAGAGCTGGTTGGTTGAGAAGTCACAGCAGTTTGGGCAGCTTCTCCATTCTGCTGCGTGGTGATTGGCTGGTCTGGCTGCTGGGGTTCCTCCATATTACCGGGCTGATGGGTGGCGCTGGGGCTGGTGGTCATTGGACGGCCGAAGCTAACTGTTGAGGAAATCTGAAGGCAGGGCTTGTTCTGAAAAGAATTACAGAGATGCCGTCAGTTATGTTGCTGCTATGAAAGTCATTAGGGCATCATTCTGATTATTGATTGGCTGATTAATTTGGCTAAACCGCCAGCTGCATATAAAAACAGAACGTGGCAGATCAGACTCGTGGAGGAAGAGCTTTGCAAACAGAAAAACACAACCACTTTATTCAAGGTCCTGGTATAATCTACTTTGCATGGTGAAGCATTTCTTGATTTAAGAATGCAATCGATGGCAGCACGGTCCAGATGATCCAAAGGTTGCAGCATCCATACTTTGATTAAGAGCCAGAGTTCCTTTGTTGCAGGTCCTAATCATGTCTGCATTTATATAAAGCAACCCTCAAAGTCATGTCAGCATTACTGTGTAACAGCCAGCACTGCTCAGAGTTCATGTTTATCTATATCCATATCTGGTTTTCAGGTGCAGCTACCAGCCACCTCCAGCTTTTCTGGGGGACATTGAGCAGTTTGAGTCCTCATGTAACCCCTCCAAGAGTCCTGGGTGATGAGCTGGAGTGCGACTCAAAAGACCCCTGTGAAGAGACAAACAATGGACCATGCCAACTCACCCAGGTTACCAAGACCCCACCCTGGATCCAGGCCAGTAAGAGAGGTTGGGCACCAGGCGCCAGGCCTTTGGTGCAACATGGCTCCACCCTCCTGTGGGACATCCACCCGGAGGAGCTTTAGAGGTTCAGTGCTTGGTGCAGCAATGCTTTGTTTATTTGATTCCAGTTATCAAAACATCAACCTAAGATTTGTATTTTATTTTATTATTTTAACTGAATACAGCATTAAAATGATTTGCCACTCTTACTCCAACGACAATAATCATTGCAGTTTTGCTGAAGACATTTGGATGGCCCTGTTTGGACTCCATGTTCTTGGATGTGTAGGGTTACTGTTGTGAGGAGCTATAGTTTACCTGAAAACACAACCCTTTCCTTACCCTAACCATGTAGTGCCTGAACAGAATTACCATAATGAGTAAAAGTGAAAAGAAAGCTTTAAGGTCTCCACCCTGTGAATCAGCAGGTCTGCTGTGATTACCAGTAAATGAAGACATTAAAGACACCTCGAGTGTAACAGTGAGACACGGGCACTGAAATTATAAAGCTCTGTGTTGTAATTTCAACTTTGATCTGGTGGTGGCAGCGTTGCCTCAACCAAGAAAATACCTCCAAATAGTCAGAAATCCTAAAGCGTAGAGGCCGATGTCCCCATCTCGTTGTTCTGAAAGCAGAAGTAGAGAGTTGGGTGGAGCAAGCACCAACTTGCGAGAGGCTGCACGGCACTAACGTGTTAACGAGCTAACCACGCTAATGCATTGACGCCGTGCAGCCCCACGCACTGGGCGAGCCGCACTAACTCGAGATTTGCTGTTTGCATGCGGTTATGGCGTTAACGTCATTTTAACGAGATTAACGCTGACAGCAGTACCTCTAATATAATGTACGACTCTGCAGATACAGACGAGGTTTTACAGGTTTCTGTTGCACTAAAATATCTTTGTGTGAGTATTTGCAACATCACAATACCACAAGTTGCTTTACGTCATCCTCCATTTTGATTTGGGGCGTGAAGCGAGCAGCATCAGAGTATTTGTAGCAGCATGATTAGGGATGATTGCATAGCGCGGCGGTGGGTGTGGATAATTTTGCCGAAAAAAAACGGCAGATGAGGGCCGGCCGAAGAGTAAACTTTAAGTACTGAATATTACGTCACTTATTTATGTGCAAATGTTTAATAACGAAGAACATTAAACATTACTGTTGGCCACATGTCGACAAAGTCATGTGACATTAGTGACGTTTGTACTAACTTGGTTTTAAAGCCTTTACTTTAAAATATACGCCGTTCAATAGCTGAGCTTAATCCCACAGAGAATGATCAAAGCTCATGTAGAAACAAACAAATGAACAAAAGATTTTCTCCTTCATTTCTGTCAAACAGCTGTATGAAACGTTTCCAGCTGTTAGTATCATGGTTGCTAGGCAACCTGGGCATCACAACGGAGGCTAGACCGCCCATTTCACAAGCCTCGCACTTCCGGCCTTAGCGGTCTTTGAGTACGCGGCCCATGAGGATCGTTGAGGCTGCGTACTTTAAGGCTGCAGACCCTGAATTGGGATACAGCCAATAGATGTGTTAGCAAATAACAAGTCAGATTCCGATCAGTCTGAAACCACGTGATCGGCTCTGGACATCCCTACTCCTGATAGCATCATCTTTATTGGCCACGACCTGCTGCTTCTTCCAGACTAATGGCAGTCGGCATTCCTGACGCCGGTCCAGATATACTCAATTCTTCTGGATGAAGCCTCAAGTGGCCATTAGAGGAACTGCAGTCGTTGGGCACTTTGTTCAAACTGAAAGCAGCTTTAGTTTATTTGATGAATTTTCTTTTAAGAAACGAAATTTGATTTTGTAGTTTTTAAATCATGTTGTTCTTTTTGGTTTCAATGTTTATGTGTTATAAAAAGAGGAGATTAATAAACTAATTTAAATGCATAATTTAGCAACAAAAGCAATAATCCTTCGTATATCCTTGCATGCTTTCAGCAGGTTCTTTCCTCTCATAAGTTCAGTTTTATTAAATTGCAGCGTCCTGAGAACGAGTCGGTAGATGTAGCAGAGGAGACATGATATTAAAACTATAATGAAAGAACAGGATTTCTGCTCTGCTGGCGTCAGAGATATTAAAGGAAACCAAGCCTCAGATGAGTCCTGAGGCTCCACACATAGAAACCACTTGGTCCCATTTATTCACCATTTTACTGATTATTACTTACTTTTCATAAAAGTGAACACATCAATGTGAGAGTGTGAAAAAAGTTTCATTGCCAGTGAAATAACAACAATATTGACACGGATCACATTTATGCCATATTTTATAAAGTAAATTGAAATCAATCTTTAACCCTAAATTTGTTTATCTACTATTTTATCTTTTTAATTTTAGAAGCTCCTGCTTGCATAAAGAATCCTTCTCTCCAAATCTATTCATTCAAAAGTCAATTTGATTCATTTTATCAAGCAATAAATAAATAAATTTAGAATAAAATGAAAACACATGTATATAAATATTGACTTCTAAACTTTTCATCTTATTTGGATTATTTATTGAGATGTTCCTTTGTAGGCGGAGCCTCTGAGCTGTGATGTTCAGAGTTCTTTTATCCCGAGCTCCTTGTTCTTAATAAAAGTTGAGATTCCTCCAAATGGGCCGGGCGGCGGAGTTATTCATGAAATATTCAGACGTTTTCTCTGACAGCTTATCTAACAGCACCAAAGTTAAAAGCTGAAATTATGACAGCGGCGTGTCACAAAGCTCAGAATAATTTTGTCTCTCCAAAGGTCGAGAAAAAGGAGAGAAATATTTATAAAACAGATCTGCAGCATCTGTGTGGGTTGATCAGGTTGCTGTTTAATAACAGTGACTCAACACTTTCTTGCTGCTGAGGTTTGTAGCTCGCGGGCCTTCGTGTAGGAGGAGTGAGCGCCGTCAGGAGCTTGGATTCATGCGTCGGTGAACAAAGAGCATAGTAACAATCATGTAATTTATCAGCGACTGAGAAGTTATGGAAGGGATCATTAGGCTGTCAGTCAGTCTGAGTACGAGCAGGCGGAGGAGTAATTACAGCCTTCAGTCACAACAGCTTTATCTGTTTTTACATCCTTGGATTTAAACGTGAACAATGTCTGAACCAGCTGTGACATCCTCAGATCTGATCCGGTCAGGTGACGGGCGCTAGCTCAGAGCTCTGAGATGACAGCATGTGGATGCGACATGACGCGATTGATAAGACGCTACCTAAGGAGCGTATCCTCGATATTCACACTCCTCCTTTCTGAAACTCTGAATTATCAAATTTAAAAAAGGACCCGAGATCAGTGACCGAGCCCATAAACTAACCAGGCAAGTGTTACAGCGGAGGGCCGATCTCCCCGTAGACTTCTACAGGACCAGAAGTCACGCTGTAAGCAAAGGTATCGCCACCTGGTGGCCATTGCAGAATGCAAAATGAGAATGCAGCGCAGCGTCCACATCGCTCCTCTGCTTTTAGAAGGCAACAAAGAAAAGAAACTGTCCCAGCTGGGTCAACGTTTAGACACACTCATAGAGCTGCAGTTACGTCCAGTAACCACTGTTTCTGTTTCACATGTGCGGCTCCCACTAACAGGAGGTCACAGCTACACTGGGTAACGTGTGGTGGAGGTCCAGCCTGTGCCACATGCAGACGTCCTCCACCATCTTTGTCCTTAAACAGAAAAACAGGAGCCTGGAAACCAACGAGGGAAGACTCCAACACAAGCTCCACACGGTGGATGCAGACAGGTCCCAGCAGGAGCTCGTGCTGTCTGCCGCACACGCTTTCTGACACGAGCAGTTCACCGTCAATCAAAAGAGACAGAGTTTAGATTCAGACACGTCTTTAAATGTTGTTTACACTGAAAAAATAAAGCCACATGTATTAAATGTGATCCTTCCACAAACAATACTTCCTGTTTCTAAGAGAACATAAGATAGAACAGGCTTCATTAACACTGGAAACACTGCAGATTCCCTGAGTGCTGATATTTCAGACATTTTTATATCTAAAGTTGTGCTGACCATAAAACTAAGTTTGTTGTGTAAAGAGAGAGGAGCTGAAGCAGCATCATTTATCTGACTTTTTCAAACTTGTGCTGCGTTTGCTCTCGGTTCAGCGCTACCCCTGTGCTCCTCACTGTGATCAGCAGTAATCTTATCGGATCAATCAGACAGGCTCATCGATCCGAGCGATGCCTGGAGGACGAGCTGCTTCCTAAAGAGCAGGCGCTCTGTCGCAGCGCCTACACGCTCGCCGTTGTAACGACTGCCAGGACTGCATCGATCGCTTGTCCCCCTCCCCGAGGACCCAGCGCTGCAGCGCTGCTTCGCTGACTGAAGCAGAGTGTGTAATTACAGCGCTGCACGAAGCTGCACGTGCTCCCTGATGCAGTGCGACCGTTTAGCAGCATCAGTGTCATTCGATGCAGATCACAGGATACGTCTGCAAAACACCTCCGATCCTCCCAAGTCGCTGACGTGCTCAGCATTCAGAGAAGAGGACGAGAGGGTGTTTACCTCTTTCTTCCCCTTCTTCAGCACTCAGCGAGGCGAGCACTCGGCTCTTTGTTCTTTTGTTGGTTACCTCAGGAGCTTCAGGTTACAAGAAAACTTCTTTAACTTTAAGATTTAAGTTTCATCCGGTCTCATCCTGGATCTGTGTATTAAAACCCATCAATCATTTAAAATGAAATGTGATGGAGAAAGATGAACTCAGCACTGCTACTCAGTGACCTCACAGCGGCCATATTATTGGTCACATGACAGAATTAAAAAGGCTCCAACAGCACAAACACGGTCCAGACCTACAGCTACATCCACCTGTCAGTCAAAGAGGCCACACCCCTAATGATGCTAACTTTAAGCCTTAATGTGATTTAAACACAGACATCAAACAGTTTGTGCATCAGGATGTAAACGTCTTGATGCTCAATCATCCAGGTAAGCAAATCTCCAAAAGTTGATTCTGTTCATCTGGACTAAACATGTTTGCTTCTCTGGGGACCGACTACTGCTGCCTCTGCTGGATGTTAGAGGAACTGCATGTTCTCATTTTATTATAAATTTATATTCTTATGACTTTTATGCTAAAACATTTTTTTAGACCATTTTGAAAATGTTTATTCAAGACGAAAATCCAACTGTTTCCAGTTTTCACACAAAACCTTTGATCATCATAAAAATCTGACGTGCTCTGCAGCAGATAACCTCGGATGGAGCTTTTACTTCAGAACCAGCTCGAGAGAATGACAGGAGCACCTATAATCATCAGCTTACTGCAGTTAGAAATAAGAATAGTTTAGAAAATGTGACTCTGTCCAAACAGCAGAGAGCTCTATGCGACCCACATCAGAGGCTTCGAGGAAATATCTGAATACCTGAATTTTCCTGAACATGGAGACTTGGGGGTGTCCTACATAATTAAAGAGCTTCTGCTCAGGACGCCGGCTTGAATTATTTGTTAGACCCGCGAGCTTCAGCGGCTGCTGTTTGGGACCGAGTCTGTCAGACGTATGAACAAACTTTCCTATGAAAATTTTAAGCTTCACAGTGAAACATCAAAAACTATGTTTCCATAAAAAACAGGAAAAAAAACTTCCCATAAAAATACGGATATTTCATCATCATAATGATAAAAAGATTAGAGAAATGAGGGAAAAGAAATCTCACACAAAACAGAAAGAAGCAAATTGTTTCATGTCCATCTTCCACATACAGTCTGTAGTTCTCTAGATTTCTGTGACTAAATCAAACAAAATCAATGAATTTTAATGATTTATTAATCATTAATTTTGCTGATTACAGCGGTACGCTGAGATTTTACTGTCGTGTCAAAGATCAGGGACTTAGATTTCCCCTTTTGATCTCATTGGCTGGAGGAGGGTCACAGGGTCTTTAATGAAGGGTCCTTACAGGAACCGGAGTTTAACATTAATTAACCTGCTGCTGCCTTCGTCCTGTCCACGAGCGGCAGGATTAGCGCTGCGAGCTGTGGCAGGCACTCCGGAGGGAGCGGCCGCAGGAAGACACGACCATCGCAGCCATTAGTCTGTTGTTTTCAGCTCTGCGGCGGCGGCGTAATGACTCGGGGCTCTGCAGATGTTTGTTTCATGCTGCTGGGCCAGTCATGATGCGCTGACATGATAGAAGCCTTTAATGAAATCCTGGGTAATGGCTGCGTCCCTGCAATCACAGACTCTGAGCTTGTTGGGCTGTAGCTGCGAGGCTGTGGCGCTAATCAGCTACAGGACCCTCTGACAACATGAGTCTGAGAGACGAGGCTGTAACAGGATGAAACAGCCTCACAGCCGTTGGACAAACATGGACTCGTATCAGCTGTTTTTACACCACAGACACAAAATGAATCCGTTCAAATTTTATAGCATGAAAAAAAATATGTTTGGAGGCTGGATGGAGATTTCAGAGCTGTGAGTCATCTCACCGTTCACTTAGATTTGTCTTCTTAATGTGATTACATCCTCCAACGCCCCGTGACCCCAGAGGTCCAGTTTGTTTCCAGAAGTCTAGATTTTCATTTTGTTGAATTTTAGTAACTAAAATCTTTTTCCTTTCATGTTTAGTTTGTTTTTCCTCTCTAGAACAGCCTGGATCCAGATTCAGATCATCGTGTTTTACGGTGGGTCAGGGTTTGGTCCCGCCCCAGTCATAAAACCCCTCTAGGTTAGAGTTAGGGTTCAGTTTCTCTCTGCCTGTCTGGAACAAATGTAAAAGCCTCTGTACGAGCTTTTCTTTGAACAGGAACATCTTCCACCTCGTGAGAGTTTGCCTCTTCGGCCCTGATCCAGCATGGTTGACTGGAGAGCTGGTGGCTGACCTGATGGAGGTATGTAGAGGAGCTGCAGAGGCAAAAGCACTCCAACCAGAAGTGGACTCTGAACCTGATTCTTCATATGCTGACTTTGTCTTCTTTATTTCGGTTAAAGCTGTCTGTAGTCATGTGCAAAGGTTATAGATGTTCACTTCTCCAACGCAGGCACCATGAGAAAGACTCAACTTCAACTACAAGAAGAACGCAGAGCCCTCAAACAGATGGATCAGTCTGGGATTGTGCGGGGAGTTTCAGGAGTAATCCACACAAGAGCTGTGGAAAGTTCACTGAGATGCTCCAAAGCCAAATGAGTCCAAGACCAGTGTAAAACCCAAAGCCCCAATCCCAACGTCCATGCCACCAACTTCCAAGTCCTCCGAGATGATCCAAAACCAGCCTAAACCATGTTCATGAGCGAACCCTGATCCAAAATACTGCAGCAAGAGTCCTGACAGGGACTAGAACAAGAGCTGATTTCCCCAGCTTATCTTCATGACCTTGTAGTACCATATCACCCTATTAGAGCACTTCGCTCTCGCTCTGCAGGCCTACTTGTTGTTCCTAGAGTATTTACTCTTCACCCCCGCAGATTGGTGCAGCGGTCGCATCACTGCGGGTGCTGAACCAATCCATCTGTCAGTCTCATGCTCCCCTCACTCGTGGACAAGACCCCAATATAGCTGAACACCTCCACCTGGGGCAGTAACTCATCCCTGACCGGAGTAGGGACTCCACCATTTTCCGGCTGAGGACCACGGCCTCACGGCAAGGATGGCAAGGCACCGGCGTGAGGGTCAGATGACATCACAGTGACATCACATCCAGCCTCCATATTCAGCTAAATTCAGGTTCTACAAACTGATCCAAACTCAGCGGCCGCACAAGAGATTTGAAGCAGTTTTGAAAGGATGAATCTTTGTTTTATTTTTTAAACTCAAAATTCAACTTCCTGTTTCTCGGCCTGGTCACAGAGCGGCCATGTTGCTGTCACCTCCTCGCTCTTCGGGCGGGTCACACCTCCTGACTGTGACTGCTCTCAGTTAAAGCTGTCCCCGTGACTAAAACCAGCTCACTCAGTCAAACGGAAACATTCAAAGTCTTTAAAGGCAGACTTTCAAAATAATATTCACATTTTTTTAGGCAGTTTAATTTGAAATTCTTTGGCCGACTTCAGACTGTAAACAATCTGCTCTTGTTTCTTTCAGTTTTTTGGAAATGAAATATTTTCAGAGTTTAACCTCCAGCTCGAGCAACGCAGGATAAACTGATCCACTAGGGGCGGGTTTTGATGATCGATTTATCGATTAAAATCGATTCTGGCTTGGATAACGTGATATTGATTCATTCAAATCCTGAATAGATTTTTATATATAAATTTATTTTGCCCGAAACGCCAGAATCTCAGTTT